AACAGAACTACAATTCACAAACCCTCTTGCCAAAGCCCTTTTGACCTCATCCTTGACCTCACCCCATGTCCGTAAATCACAGAACGATCAGTTCAAAGTGGGGTTGGAACTAACAAATCCCGACAACATTCAATATTTGGCGAAGTCACCACTCGGAGCCCGCGATACTTAGTAACAGATGATTGATGAGCGACTTAGTCGCTGTATAGAAGCTCGACAAAGCGATTGATCGATAAGACCGCATATTTTCTTTATGGAAGAGGGAGCAGACGGGTCATCTGATGGAAAGGAACTACCGCCGCCATGAACATCTGCAACTCAGGAGTCACAAGCGCGTTGCTGGCTTTGAGGAATGAGTACCTACGCTCTTTTCCTGAAGGTTTGAAGGTCGTATCGGTCTGAAATACCGCAGACGATAACTTGTTCCAAAGATATAACATAAATATAATATCAGTAACTTTTTAGAAAATAATCGATCGAATACAGATAGCCGATGAAACAAAAGGCAGTCGATCGTTGGATATTGGTTCTGAAAGCATTAGCGGTCGTGGTCAAAGATGTAGAAAATACGTTTATAAGTGAAACTGACATCTGTTTTACTGGATAAAAGATATTAGGCTATGCTTTATAGCCAGATATGCAACCGCAGAATATCGGGCCAAATATTTTATCAATTACCTTTGTTGCATATCCTCTTTCAGGGGAGATGGGGTCATGAGCATTTACCCCTATGACATATATCTTATTATAAATAAAGACACGCTACTAACGCTTTTATCCCTCGGTCTTTACATGGAAGAAATAAATACCGTTGACTAGTTGTGATCGCGGCTATTAATTTAAATATACCTACTACTTAAATAATTTATTTGGGTTTCTGAAAATTCCGTACTTTTAGAGTTATCTTAACTCATCTCTTTTATAATATTGGTATATACTTGTACAACAAAGGGGTACTTAGGTTTTTGTTAGACACTTAAAACCTACAGGTCTACATCCATACTGTAACGGGTTCTTTTAACAACATCACCTAAACGGTTATTTGTCCACGACCCCCCTTAAACCCAGAACGATACCATCCAAACGATCATTAACAACATTAAAGGGTAAACACATCTAACAATGCCCTTGCAAAAAAAAAGCTTCAACAAAAAAGCACGTTTTCGAAACCACCGACAGACGGCGCTGCGGAAGACTTTACTACTTCCGGTGACAAGATGGCCGGCGTTCAGCGCAGCCGGAAACTGCGGCGAGAGAGCCCAAAAACACGATAAAAGTATAACAGAAAAATCTCTTAAGTTCTCTCATCGTTACAAAGTAATTCATACCTTACAGCTCAGATGTTTAGTGCCAAGATACAATAATACGTAGAGAAGTTATGCTGTTTTCAGCTGAGAAAGGAAAGTAATAACTAAGCAACGTGCTGTCAAGTGCGATCGGTTATTTCCCGCATTGAATATGATGTAAGTTTTCCGGAGCGACGATAACACCTAATGGTATCGTTTGCTCTTTCATAGTATAAAGAGGAGGGCGAATTGTCACTCTATGGTTTTTTTGAATGAGAGGGTCATATAGAAACGCTTAGATAGTATTTTCTTTACCTCTGTGATGTATAAAATAATGTGATTGGACTGTAAGCAATCTACAAATATCATTATACAGTTACGTACAAAATATCCATGTGGTGACGGATTAAGAATACGAAGTATCACCCCCATTCATCCCGTGGGTGTCGTAATAGCCGACTAAGGGGAAAACTAAACAGAACAAATCCTACACCAACCTGTCTGGCCAGCATGGTACTCGTATAGTAGGCGAAAATCTCTTTTCTAAGCAGACGCCTATGACCAGCACTATTAAAGGCTGGTGATGTAATGATAATGTGTACAAAATATTAATAAAAACTGAGAACTACAAGACGATTGAGAAGTTTTTGAGAAAATTAAGAGGCCCGCTTTGGAACTCTTTAAAAGAGACTCGTTCTTTTTTCACTTAAAATTCAACAGAAATCAATAACATACATTATGTATTGTGTGTATTATGTTCAATGACAATTAAGGGAAAATGAAGAAGCTATGGTTTTTTGTTATCAAAGTTGTGTTTTAAATATATTAGATATACTTATTACAAACAAAACATTGAACGTAATTCAACATTTACCATAATATCTACGTAACAGGTTCGTACCTTTTGCATCTGGCGTTCGTTACAGATGATAAACACGTAGCCCTACAGTCAATAGCACACAATACAATATGCCTGATTATCATATGAATGCATCGATATATGTGTGTATATATATGTGTATTCAAGACGTACAATATGTACCTATCCACTATTGTCAAAGATGTATTCAAGATAAATTCGTCTTCATATTACATCAGTGATAAATTCAACTGGGAATAAGTATTCTTCGTTTCCTACGGTCGACGGCCAAAACTACGACAGTTTACAGTTAAAAAAATCTAAACAACATATCGTTTGCTGATCTTTTGCCGTATGCAATTGCCAATTCACTCTGTATATTAAAAAAAAAGTGTAATATCATCATCAATCATCATCAACAGCCTCTAATGGTCCTCTGTTGGACACAGGCCTCTCCTTAGAAAGGAGGTTTTGGCCTACTATACCACGCTGGCCAGACGGTTGGTATAGAGTTCGTTGCAAGTTTTCCTTCTCTTTGCAGTGCTGTTAACCTGCGTAGTTTGCTCCCTTAGTCGGCTCTTACGACACCTACGGGACGAATACGGGTGGTGACACTCCGTATTCTTAATCCGTCACCACACAGAACAAGTGTAATATTGATATGCTTAATATAAAATGCTCCTATAGAGGTAGGTACTAAATTAATCGACGTGATTTACATTCGTTTTACAACTTTTTACGAGATTTGCGAGACTTGTGACTTGTGCTTGTGATAGGATTTATAATACTCTTTGTAAGTAAGTAATTTAAAAGTGTTACAGGACTTTGATGTATCACATCTTTCCTCTCGCTCTCCTGCAATCTGTGTGACTGATTTTAAAAGGGACGGATAATATGTGTAACAGGCAGCCGTGGAAGTCCGCGCTATTTGATTTGACCAATGAGCGCGCAGAGTGCTCGAGTTGAACGTTATAGTTGAGTTGAGCATATGCGAATATGACTATTGTATGTTTTATGTATATCTGTTTATTTTAACTTCAATTTACTTACTCTAAAAGAAATGATTTGAGATTCAAGTCTTACTTATTTCAGAGTTCGACTACCGGATGGCATAGCGGTTTAAGCGGTCGCCACGAAGCATCCTACTACGCTGAGTATTGTGAGTTCGATCTCCACATGGGACGACACTTTGTGTGATCTACAAATTGTTGTTCTGAGTCTAGGTGTTCTTTGTGTCCGTTTCATGTATGTTTGTAAAGACACAGGTTTTATTCCTAATACGGGAGTTGTCTTTTTAAAAATACAGTGTTTAAGTATTTAAAGGAAATGGTTAGTTGGCTAACTGTTTCCTTTAAACCTCAACGTTTGACTACAAATCTGCCTATGTTTGCGCAAACCATTAATGTATAAGGTTTTTATAAAAAAACAAACTTATATATTGCACTGTTAAGATTCACTGTACCTTTTTTTTTTAATAATAAAGTAAATGTCAGCCACCGTGAAGATAATATACGAGAAGAAAAAACGATGTCAGCGCCTCTAACAGTAAATAATGAAACTATTTTCCGTTTTGTTTGCTAATGTTTGACCATAATAAAAACCGTAGTGCGTTTAGTTGTTCATATCGTTTAACGCTGATTTTATTAATTAATCTGATTAGGGCATCTAGTTAGGTATATACACGACCAGCTAGATACTCGTAACATAAATTATGACGTATTTATGACACATAATTAGTTTATAGAAATAGATATCTTCATGATTTTATTTTAAAATTACTTTTTCAAATTTATCATGTCTTGCAATTTCTACTTCGAAAAATGGAAATTTATTATAACTCGTCTAGAAATATTGATTCATGCAGATCTTGAGTATCAGGTATTGAAACATTAATAAGAAGTTGTAATAATGTTTTGATGACAAATGATTTTTAAACTAAATCGCTTATATTACTAGGAGTGCTTTGAGGAATTGTTAGAGCTTATAGCGGCCGAAGATTTCTGCTAATTTTTAACACGTTAAAAGATCCATCCCATCACTTGGATCCACTGTGTGCCTTTCAAAAGAAACTTTTATTCTGACACAACCAATCTATGAAACAAATTACCACCTACGACATTTTTGGACCGATACAACCTCGAAACTTTCAAGACAAAGGCTTGCAACACATTTGTGACTGTAGACTCCAGGTCATTTACTATCAGATGAGCCTTTTGCTCTTTTTCTCCTCTAACACGAAAAAAGGATGTGATAAAAGACTCCTTCATAATTTTTAGGGTTCCGTACCTCAAAAGGTAAAAAAGGAACCCTTATAAGATCACTTTCTTGTCCGTCTGTCCGTGTGTCACCACCGATTTTCTCAGGAACGGGTAGATCAAGCAAGTTGAAATTTATACCAGATACTGAGGTCTATGGTCCCTATTAGAAGTATAAAAATCAAGGTACTGAGTCAACACTATAAAAAGATATGGGCAAATTTCGATTTTCGCGAAAACTTGTAAGTACCAAAATTTACCTTAATTTTCAACTTTATGTAATTTTCAACTATACTTAACAACAAAACCTATATGGTAGTTCCCGTTGACCTAGAATCACGAAATTTGGCAAAAAGAAACGTCTTACAGCACAAATATAGGAATGATTCCAAAAAATAAAAAAAGTTGAAAATTAAGATAAATTTTGGTACTTACAAATTTTCGCGAAAATCTACGTAAAATCTGGGTAAGTACGGAACCCTCGGCGCACGAGTTCGACTCGTGCCTGACCGGTTTTTTTTTTATCAATATTGCATGTTGTAGGCAGAAGGCGCCCACGATCAGCAGCTTCCCGATGCCGTTCTTAGAGTGACTACAATCATGGTCCAATACATGAATATATACAACGAGGTAATAGAATGTGTGCAGAACAACCTTCAAGTGCAGAAATCGGAGTTAATGACCAACATTGTGAACGCTATTGCTTTTAGGTTCGAAATAATTATACAATTGAGACATGTACGAGTATTACTCGTCCATTTATGCATTCTAAAGGTCTCTGAGAACCCCAAAATCGATCTAAGTGGCGTGCAATGGGAGAGGCCTATGTCCAGCAGTGGACTGCGATAGGCTGATGATGATGATGAAAGGTCTCCAGGTGGTCGAATTTCGTGCATAGTTTAATTACATTGCTTTTAATGTTTCGTTTGATCTCATGACCAGTTTAAGTTGAACTGTCATTGAATACGCTTGCTTGTAGATAATTTAGACGTGTCTTTATATTTTTGAATTTATGACACGTAGTGTCTAATTTTCTTTATTTTCTGCACTTCTTTTACATGTAAACATTAAGTCTTCTAAATATCACGTTCGAAAAATTAACTTTTTTAAATTTATTTTGTTAGGGGTGTGTAGTGGTTTTTGTAACGGACTGCTATTTCAAAGGTCGCGGGTTCGATTCCCGCTCAAGTCAAACCATTGATATTTGATTTGGTCTGGGTGTTTCTATGTATAATAAGAATGTATTTACAAAAAAAATAATGTTTTTATATGAGTTGTCTAGTAGTCATAGTACAAGCTCTGCTTAGTTTTGGACTAGATGGCGTTGTGTGAATATGGTAGAATATTATTATTATTATTATTATCACACACTGTTCACTGTAGTTTACCCGCGTGGGGTTTAATTAGCAAAAAAATTCTATCCCCTATAATTTATTTTTTTACCCTTTTATATTTAGATCTACGAGTATGATTATTATTTTTATTTATAAAAAGACAACTCCCGCATTAGGAATATATCCTGTGTCACGGGGGACTTTACATATATTTATACATGAAACGGATCTCACAAATCCGGATCGGACCCACAACACTCAACGAAGTAGTAAGCGGCGTGGCAACCACTTAAACCACTACGCCATCCGTGCAGTATATGGTGTCTAATAACTTACCTTAATTTCTAGAATACTAGAGCTCAAAAGGAATTTATGGGAGCTAGAAAGTAGTCCTTTCCACTACGTGGGCACAGCTTTAATTGTGAATAAACTCACATACGATCCTGAGATGACAGCGGTGCCAAAAATTAAAAGATCGCCACTCGTAAAGGAAGCTATGGAATCAGCATTTCAAAGGGTGAAAGAGAAAAAGGAGGCTCCAGAAGAACCTGAAGGTAAGAAAAAATCTTCCAATAAACTGGTCCACGTAGTTTTACCTTGTAGACTTTTTTCTCCTGTCTATTGCTCTTCTCCTATGATCTCCAATGGGTTAACTAATCTATATATATATATATATATATATATAAGAGATTTCCACGTATAAAGTCACTTATCACGATATCTCTGGAACCATTAGAGCTAAAGACTTGAAATTTGGTAGGAATATTCTTTTCACCGAGTAGAGGTCAGCTAAGAACGGATTTTAAGAAATTCAAAAAACAAATGTAAATAGCAAAACAACGTTTGCAGGGTCAGCTAGTCTCAATATAATTGCTACTGATATAGATTTATTCTATTGCTCACTGAGTGGATTCACAATAACAGCATTAAGAAATATTTTTTATAATAAATTGTTTCAATGTAAATAATTTTTGTTTTTCTTTTTTCTTTTTTTAAAAGACAACTCCCGCATTAGGAATATATCCTGTTTCGCGGGGGACTTTACAAACATGCATGAAACGGACCCAAAGAACACACAGACTCAAAACAACAATTTGTAGATCACACAAAGTGTCGTCCCATGTAGAGATCGAACCCATAACACTCAGTGTAGTAGTAAGTGGCGTGGCGACCGCTTAAACCACTACGCCATCCGTGCAGTCGTTAAATTAATTAATTAATCGTAATATTGCACAGCATTTTTTTTCTGGTATAGGTAGGACAAACAAGCAAACAGGTCGCCTCATGGTAAGTGACCACCGCCACCCGTAAACACCTTTTTTTTTTTGCCGTGCGGCAATCCCCTCGTATACCACCTATCGCTGGCATGTCGGACTCGAACCGACTAAAACCGCACGCCGTCTCGGGTACTAATAACCAGGGAACCAGGTATACCCTAGAAAGGAAGTCCCTGGTGTACGACATACCCATGAACATCTGCAACTCAAAAGTCACAGAGTGTGTTGAGTCTCCCAGTTTAAGTTTTGGCTTTGATAACCTCACTAACTAAAGCAACGGAGGAATTGCTTTGAACACCGGTTTTAGAGGCCGTGGTATCCCTCCGGTCAAGCCGGTCCATTTGCGCCGAAATATGACTCGGCCACGTTTAAATAGCATAATAACCTATTTATGAAGAATTAAATCCCTCATTTCTTTTTATCATCATCATCAACAGTCTTTAATAGTCCACTGCTGGACATAGGCCTCTCCTCAGAAAGAAGGTTTTGGCCTACTGTACCACGCTAGCCAGACGGAATGGTATAGGGTTTTTTCTAGTTTTCCTTATCTTTGCAGTGCTGTTGTCCTGCGTAATTTGTTCTGGATGAATAGGGGTGGTGACACTCCGTATTCTTAATCCGTCAACACACATGTCTTTTCTTTTTGAAAATGCCTAATGGCGGTGGTTGTGTTAATTTTCTGTAAAAAGTAGTTTATTTATCGGTTTTAGTTCCATTAAAGTCGAAAATAATAATGACACTTTTTGCCCCGCACAACCAATCTGTGGAACGGGTATTTCCGGACTGATACGACCTTCAAACCTTCAAGAAACGAGCGTACTCCTTTCTAAAAGACTGGCAACGCGTTTGTGACTCCTGAGTTGCAGACGTGCATGAACGGCGATAGTCACTTTCTATCCGGTGACCCATCTGCTAGTCTGCCCCCTCTAACATAACAAAAAAATGTAATAAAAATAATGCCACTGATAAGCTTAACTCTAATGTATTTTACAGTTTTAGAGGAAGAAGAAATAAGTGATTTTACGAAACTAGAACAAATGCGCAAAGAGTTTATGTTAAAATTTCGAGAAGAACAAGAGGAGCAAAATGAAAATGATGTAGAAGAAAATATTTTGTCAGAAGAAGAACGTGTCAGAATGGACCATTTGAATTTAATAAAGGCACATGAAAAACTCAGGTACTGAATTTTACTAGAATAAATAAATTTAAAATATAAACTCTTCGGTTGATAGCCAATATTGAAAACACATTATAGATAACAAGACAAATATCTAATGTGCTGATCCTTGCAGTGTTCCTACGAATATTTGTCATTAAGTGTTACCATTCTTTGGTGGTTCAGTTCTGCTGAGCAATCGTGTCCGTAGCCAAGCGTACCTACTGTATTTACACCCATAAACACTTGAACTAACTACAAAAAACATAAAATAACTACTAATTTAATACGCCAGCCAGCATCATGACGTATTGCAGTAAGCTATATTCTTAATTCCTTAATTAACGATCCCAGAAAAGAGGATCGAGAAACCTTTTTTCAATGAAACCAAAGTATTCCTCCCAAATAAAAACATCTAAATCGGTTTCTGGTGACGGAGTTTTAAGATAAAAAACTGTTATATATGATACCCCAGGACCAGTGAATAAGGCAACGGTTACATTCACACTGGTTTATTATCACAAGGTATATACACATACAAACACAACAAATAATGAAAAATTGAAATAAAAACCACAATCGTATCGACGAAACTTTCTTGTTTTTAAGCCACAGAATTAATTCCACTATACTGATAGAAACAAACCAACATAATGGGATACTTTGATGAATGATAAATTTAGAAGAATTAAATAAAAAATAAATTTAATTGAACACAAACGGAACACAAACCCGAACTCAAACTATAGTAATTAAGTAATGCCATAGAATTAACAATGTATTACAGGCAATTAACGAGATCTGTAAAACTTGCGACGCTAAAAAGGGAAGCATGGGCGAAAGAACTACTTGGTACGGCTGCACCTCCAGCCAGATACGAACTAAGACAGAAGGCTGCTAGATTTATACAAAGAATAATCAGGTATGAGTGTATTTTAAAATATGGCCAATACCCCCCTATATCTACTCTCTATCGTATGATACGCACTAGAGAAAAGTATGCTTCTTTTTTTAATTACTAAAGTGTTCAGAAATTGTTATTGATTTAATTCTACGAGTGTATTTCCACCGCTTGACTCAGAATCTTGTAGTGTATGTACATATAAGGTCCGACAACACGTATTTTTTTCAGAGCATATTTCGAGATAAAAAGAAACCATATTAAAGAATGTAAACGAGATCAGATACTTGGATTGGCAATTTGTAAGCACCCTTCTGTAGAGAAGAACATAAAAGTTGAACAGGTACTAAATACATTTTTTAATAACAAGTTACCATTTCGCTCGTTTACTTGGATTTATTTCGAATTTGACTTTTGATTGACGGCAAGGCGTAGTGGTTTAAGCGGCCTCGAACTTTAGGTATGAAAAGTTTCAAGAAGTATAGGCCTTAATCGTTTTATTGAACTCACGTTTTTCACACTTCCAAAGGATAGAACAATAAATAAATACAACCCAAACATTGATGATGTTAGGATTGTTTTTATTCGCCGAAGGATCCGTGCCTGAATCTGTAGAGATAAGAGTTCCTCGAGAAACACCGAGGTAACTTCTAGGTGAATTTAACTGTAGGTAATTCGCACTCCGTGACTTGAATTGTACTTTATTATGTTGGAGCAAGACTCAATATTTATTTAAACGATTTTACTGGAGTAAGGCTTTTGCAGAGGTGAAAAAAGGTAAAAGATATAAAGTCAAACTCTCTCATGTATTTAGAAGCCGAACAACTATGCGGAATTGTACGAACAATATGAAAAGGAGTGTGCATCACACAAATCGAAAATAACACAGCAATATATGATTAGAAAAGGCGATGAACTATCTGGTGACTTCCGTGATCGTATTATGGCATGGTTCTACGAATGGTGAGAACAACATTATTTAACTACAAAATTACTCAATAGGCTTAAGTTTATTTACTTCAACATCAAAGGGCACTTGTACAGCATTTTCTAGCAGCAGTATGTCACAAAGATTTCAATTCTTAGTCTACTCTGTAGCTAAGTACTGTAGCTAAGTCATACTCGGGGGCAGGATGATTTACATACGGTTTAGGTCTTAAAGTGTGGCTTTTATTTTACTAATATCTATACTTTTGACGAGCTCGTTGGTCCAGTGGTTAGTGCCCTAACTGTTAAGCCAGACATCGTTGGCTGGATTCCCACCCAGGAATAATAATTGTGATGAGCACGAGCATTTTGTTCTTTGTCTGGGTGTAATTTATCTATAATATTTAGAAATACATCCACCACCACCACCAACAGCCTATAACAGTCCACTGCTGGACATAGGCCTCTCCTTAGAAAGGAGGTTTTGGCCTACTATACCACGCTGACCAAACGGGTTGGTATAGGGTTTGAGTTTTCCTTCTCTTAGCAGTGCTGTCGTCCTGCGTAGTTTGCATATACATAACTATGATCAATTTGAAATGAACGTGCCCGTTTGGCGGCAATAGGCTTATCCCCTATTTCCTGAATGGGACTAAAATAAAATTATAGTCGCCAAAATGTGGGCGTTTAACCCTCCGTCAACTCCTTCAAGGATAGAGACATGAATATTAGTAAAAATATATGCATGAAATTTGGTTATACAATCATTCTCGAAGTCAAAAAATCTAACCCATAAACTTTTCTATCAAAGGTTTCAATCCATCTCATTTATCCACGAAATTCCCAAAGACGGGTCTATTGCTATCTTCAGAGAAGAACTTCCAGATCCTGAGGATTGGCTTGAAGAATACAAAGAATATCTAAGTAAAAAAAAAGATAACGCAGGCAAAAATCCTCAAGAGGTAGGTATAAAGGAAAAATAAAAATATATCGACGACCGAATGGCGTAGTGGTATGTGTAACGGACTGCTATTCCAAAGGTCGCGGGTTCGCTTCCCGCTCAAGTCAAACATTTGTGTGCATGAACATTTAATGTTTGATTTGGTCTGGGTGTTTCTATGCATAATAAGTATGTATTTACAAAAAAAAAAGTATATATGTATTTATATCAGTTGTCTAGTACCCATAGTACAAGCTCTGCTTAGTTTGGGACTAGATGGCGTTGTGTGAATGTGGTACAATATTATATTATTATTATATTATATATGCTTCATATGTACCTTTAGCTGATTAACTTCGTTTAAAGTTTCCTTAAGCGAACATTAAGTAAACTTCAAAGCCAATCAATCTGTTCTGTATTTATTTCAACGAGTTAGTTCAATTTTTTTGTGAAATATCCTTTATTGAGTTACGATCCTTTATTTATGTGGGTTTATTGAGTTAGACTATAAAATAATATAATTTCCCGCGTATCGACTTGCATATATGGATAGCTCAGGTCACTCATGTGAGGGGTGCGTGGTCCGGAACCTCCTTGTGGTGCACCCTGGGCAACGGAGACGGCAGCGCCTCTCTCCCTAGGTGGGGGAGGCGCTGCCGCCTGCGGCCAATTCCGGCCGAGGTGGGAACGGCCCGTCAAGGGCTGTTCGGAGGGCTGCTTTCCGCGTGTCCCTCTGTTTGGCAGAGGGCATAGGGGAGAGCGGGCTGGGGGCGGACGGGTCCACTGCAGCTGGCTCTGTCCAGAGGTGGGGGACACTGGTCTGACGCAGACCACCGTCCGGCCATGTCGTAACCCTGACTGGCAACGGTCAGGAATGACGGCTCTTCGAGGGCTACGAGGAAGGCAACCTCTATAAAAAACCCTGGGGCGGACGGACCCGGTCTGGTGCAGACCCCGTCCGGCCCAGCCGTAATCCTGAATGGACAGGACCGGTGGATCTTCGGATCCGCGAGGACGTAAACCTCTATAAAAAATGCTCTAAGCCCACGTTCTGACGCCTGGCAAGGGGCTGAGTCACTGGAGGGAGTCCAGTGCCGAAGGCGTCCCCGTCGAAGGACGTTAAACTTAACATTATGACATGGGCCCAAAGATTGATAAATCTACCCAGGAGGGTACCAGACGCACTGCGTCTGGAGAATCCCTCCCGGAGCCAGACGGCTCCGGCAGCTCCCAAACGTACTCTGGGGGGAGCAACCTCTGTCTAACCTGCCCGTTGCCGAGCAGTAAATCCGGCAACCGAAATTACGCGGAGGACGCAAGAAACATGGAGATAGTGTCGAACACCGACACTGCCTCGGAGAGGAGCGGAGCGAGTACCCCTATGGTCTCAGCTGTGGAGCAGCACCAGAAGGGTACTCCAAAGCGCAAAAGGCGCTCGCTTCGCCTGGGCCTGAAGAGGCAATTGGAGTCGGCCTCGAGCGATGAAGCCTCGGCTCCCAAAGTCGGCACAAGCCGCAGAGGCGCTCGCGGCGGAGGCCGACTTCCTAGAGTTGCCCAGGAGCAGAAGACGGAGCCCCTACGCTCCTACACTCCCGTGAAGAGGGTCGCGTCCGAGAGGTCGACAGACGTGACCGAGGTGAGGAGCGAGAGGGAGGGTGAGCGGAAGCAGAGCAAAACCGGCAACCCCGTGGACCAGATCAAGGAGGCAATCGGCGTGGCCGATTGCCTGCTCCAGAAGTCCGGGGTAGCCAAGGGTCCCGAACAGGAGGCCCTGGTAGCGGTCGTGCGCTCCATAATCGAGGCGGGACGACTCCTCGTGGCCGAGAGCAAGGCCCACGCTAGGGAGAGAGCCCGCCTCGAGGCGGATCTCGCCAAGGCTCGTGCCCACGCTGGTGCCACACCAGCGTCTTCGGCACCTGTGGCGTTGTCCGCCCGTAAGGAGCCGGACTTAGTCCGACTCGTGGCGGAGATGGAGGAGCGTATAATGAGGCGCATCTCCGCAATAGAGAGCGCCCGTTGTCGCCCACCTCTGGCTCCGCCAAGGGCAACCTATGCGGCCGCTGCCAGGGCGGGCCTAACAGCCCAGCCAGCAGCTAGGGTGGCTGGGCCATCATCAGCGCCCCCGCCCCAGAAGACCGGAAAGGGCAAAGGGAAGGGGAAGGCGGCCCCAACCCAAGCCCCAGTCTCGGCCCCGGCTGACACCGCACAGCGCCCGTTGGAGCGGGGCTGGACGGTGGCCGGGGACAGTAAAAAGAGGCGGAAGGCCGCCAAAAAAGCGGCCAAGAAGGCGAGGAGGGACGCCGCCGCCGCCGCGAAGGGAGCGCCGAGGAAGCTCCGCGCCCCTCGCTCCTCGGCCGTCGTTATCACATTGACGGCGGTGGCAGCGGAGAGGGGCGTGGGGTACGCCGAGGTCTTGACGAAAGTCAAGGCCAACGTGGACCTCAAAGCCCTCGAGATTCCGGGCGTCCGGTGTAAAAACACACGGACGGGAGCCCGGCTCCTCGAGGTCGCCGGCGCTACCAGTGGCCCCAAAGCCGACGCCCTAGCGGCTAAGCTGAGGGAGTCACTGGATGCAGCTGACGTCCGAGTGTCCAGACCCACTAAATGCGCAGAAGTTCGCATTACGGGCCTGGACGACTCTGTCACGGCGGACGAGCTCAGACTCGCCGTGGCGGAGACGGGAAGCTGCCCTCTGGACAGCGTGAAGGCCGGAGCAATACGCTTCGGCCCCGGTGGACAGGGGGCAGCGGTTGTCAGCTGCCCCATCGCGGCGGCCCAGAAGGTCGCCGATGGACGGAGCCTCCTGGTCGGAGGTTTCCTGAGGGCGCAGGCACGACTCCTGCAGGCCCGACCGGCAAGGTGCTTCAGGTGCCTGTCGGTGGGTCACGTAGGGGTGCACTGCACGGCGGAGGCCACCGTAGGTGACCGATGCTTCCGCTGTGGCCAGCCCGGTCACAAGGCGGGTGGCTGCAACGCTCCGCTGCGTTGCTTTAGGTGCGCAGCGGGGGGCAAGCCTGCCGACCACCGGGTTGGTGGTAAGGCCTGTGCCCTATCGCGACCGAAGCCGGGAGGCCGACCTTCCGCCTCCGAGCCGCTGATCCAGACGGAGAGTGCCGCTGGACAGCCGCAAAGCTCGCTGCGGGATGCGGGGATGGAAGTCCAGTGATGGATCCACATCTCCGCATCCTCCAGGTGAACGTAGGCCACGGTGCCGATGCTCAGGATCTTCTGCTTCAGAGCATGGCACAGTGGTCCATCAACATCGCCGCTATCGCCGAGCTATATGTCCATCGGTTTCTCGGGCCTGCCTGGGAGACCGACTTGGACGGCACGGCGGCCCTGGTGCACGGTACCGCAGCCGGCACTCCACCTCTTGCAGTAGTTGCAAGGGGACGGGGCTGTGTAGCGGCGATAGTTGGAGATATAGCGGTCGTGGCCGCTTATTTCACGCCGAACCGAAACCTAACTGAGTACGAGCAATGGCTCGCTCAGCTGGCCGTCGTCGTCGATGCCTGTCGCCCCCACCCGGTTCTTGTGCTGGGGGACTTCAACGCCTGGTCGCAGGCTTGGGGTTCCCTGCGCACGAACCCGAGGGGCAGGGCATTGGAGAACTGGGCTGAAAGATTCGGCCTAGTTCTCCTAAACCGGGGGGCCGTGGCCACGTTCGTGACGGCGAGGGGTAGTTCGATTGTGGACATCTCGTTCGCATGCCCCTCGCTAGCGCGTCGTGTCCAAGGCTGGCGCGTCGTTGTCGGGGAGGAGACAGGTTCGGATCACCGATATATTCGGTTTGACGTCTCCGCCCCTACAGATGGCGCGCCGGTCAGACCGGCACCACCTGAACCACGTTGGGCGCTCAAGCGCTTAGATCGCGACCTCCTCCTAGAAGCCGCCATCGTACAGGCCTGGGCTCCTGCGCCGGACAGGCCTGTCGACGTCGATGATGAGGCACAGTGGTTCCGGGAGGCCATGACCCGCGTCTGCGATGCGGCGATGCCTAGGGCTCAGCCCAATACTGCGAGGCGCCAGGTCTACTGGTGGTCGCCGGAGATCGCACGGCTGCGTCAAGCCTGCGTGACCGCGCGCCGCCAGTGGTCCAGGTTCCGCAGGAGGCGTCGCCGCCCCGAAGATGCGGCAGCGAGAGAGGCGGAGCTGTTAGCGCGTTACAGGGTTGCCAAGAGGACCCTTCAGGCAGCGATAAAGCGGGCCAAGAGCGAGGCCCGCCGCGAGATGCTGGAGACACTGGAGCGGGATCCGTGGGGACGCCCCTACCGTATGGTTAGGGGCAAGATGCGCCCATGGGCCCCGCCGCTCACACGGTGTCTTCAGCCAGAGCTGCTTGAGAGGGTCGTTGGCTCCCTGTTCCCAACGCGAGTGGTGGAGCATACTCCGCCACAGATGGCTCCGCCTCCGGCGCTTGAGGCGCCTAACGTGGATGACGACGACGTGCCTGAGGTCACTGGGGTGGAACTAAGGGTGGCGGTGTTACGGCTTAAAGTCAAAAACACCGCCCCGGGACCCGATGGCATTCCTGGCCGAGCGTGGGTCCTGGCCTTAGTCGACGAGGCTCTCGAGCCCCGACTGCGAGGGTTCTTCAGCGCATGCCTCGAGCGGGGCCAGTTTCCGAAATTGTGGAGGACGGGGAAACTGGTCCTCATCCGAAAGGAGGGGCGCCCGGCGGACTCACCGTCCGCCTACCGGCCCATAGTGTTGCTTGACGAGGTGTGCAAGCTCTTTGAAAGAGTGATTGCAAGGCGCCTCGTCAAGCATCTCGTGATGGTTGGGCCGGAACTGGTTAGTACGGTTTCCGTCAGGGGCGCTCCACCGTGGATGCGATCATGCGCGTGAAGGCTCTGGCGGAGGAAGCAGTCTCCCGGGGCGAAGTGGTGTTGGCGGTGTCCTTGGACATCGCCAACGCGTTCAACACTATGCCCTGGAGCTGCATCAGGGAGGCGCTCGTGTATCACGAAGTGCCTCTCTACCTCCGCCGCATAGTCGGGGCATATTTGTCGGAGAGAGCCGTCGTCTACCCCAGTAGGACCGGTCTCGGTAGGCGTGAAATGTCGTGCGGTGTTCCGCAGGGGTCGGTGTTAGGGCCACTCTTGTGCAACATCGGCTACGACTGGGTGCTTCGTGGTACCTTCTTGGATGGTGTCGCCGTCGTGTGCTACGCGGACGACACACTCGTGACGGCGCGCGGCAAGACGCACCACGAGGCAACCCTGAGGGCCACGGCCGGGGTTGCCCAAGTCGTTGAGCGTATCCGGCGGCTGGGTCTCGAGGTGGCTCTGCACAAGTCCGAGGCCCTGTTCTTCCACGGGCTTCGGAGGAAGCCGCCTGAGGGATCTAGCCTCACGGTAGGAGGCACTCGCATCGGCATCGAGCCCTCGATCAGGTATCTGGGGCTCGTACTCGATGGCCGATGGGACTTCGGATATCATTTCCGAGGTCTGGTCCCCAAGTTGGTTGGGGCAGCGCGTGCGTTGGCGCGGCTGCTGCCCAACATGAAGGGACCCGATGACTCCTGCAGGAGACTCTACTCGGGGGTTGTGCGGTCCATGGCCCTTTACGGGTGCCCGGTATGGGCGGGGGCCCTGAAGGCCAGCAACGTCGCGATACTGCGACGACCGCAGCGAATGCTGGCCATCAGGATCATAAGGGGGTACCGCACGATCTCCTTTGAGGCAGCGAGTCTCCTGGCCGGAACTCCACCGTGGGACCTGGAGGCGAGAGCCCTTGCGGCACTGTATCAGTGGCGCAAGGAGGCGCAGGAGTTGGGTCGATGCCCCGAGATTCGAGAAATCGATGACCGGAAATCCCAACTCCGCCAGGTCATCATAGGGGAGTGGAGGGAACGACTCGGGCAACCGAGCGCTGGGCACGCCGTCATTGCGGCGGTAAGACCCGTTATGGAGGATTGGCTCGAGAGGCGTCACGGGACCCTCTCATACCGATTGACGCAGGTGATCACTGGGAAGGGATGTTTCGGAGATCACTTGTGTCTGATCCGCAAGGAGCCAACGCCTGAGTGCCACCACTGTGATGGCCAGACCGTGGACACGGCTCTCCACACGCTGGCAGAGTGTCCGGCGTGGGTTGAGCAGAGGCGAGACCTCGTGGCGGCCATCGGAGTGGGAGTTCTCTCGCTCGATAGCCTGATTGCGGCTATCGTGCGGAGCGAGAGTGCGTGGAACTCTGCCGTCTCCTTCTGCGAGCAAGTTATGCTCGCGAAGGAGACGGCGGAGCGGGACCGGGAGAGGTTTAGAACTCTCCCGGCCCGCCAGGCCCGGGCACGGGCCAGGCAGCGCAGGCGACTCAGGCGCCGGAGGTCGCAGAACGACCTCCGTCCTCCATAAGCGCAGGCCTGGGGGTGACAGGTGAGGCCATCTGTCACCCTAGCAGAAGCAGGCCGGGGTGGCGGCGAGCGCGTTGCGAAGCGCGCTCGCTTCCAGGGAGCACAGGGAACATGGGGTTCACACACGGGGCGGGGGTCGTCTACTCGTCTGTAGATGACCCGAGGTATGTCGGGGCACCAGGGCCTTCCTTTCTAGGGTATACCTGGTTCCCCGGCTATTAGTACCCGACGAAGACGTGCGGTTTTAGTCGGTTCGAGTCGGACAATCAAATCGGATGTCAAAAAAAAAAAAAAAAAAAAAAAAAAAAAAAAAAAAAAAAAAAAAAAAAAAAAAAGTCACTCATGTGAGTCAAAAAGTTACTGGAAACCTACGAACACTATATCGCCTCCAGATTGCATGCAGTTCTTAATCATTCCTGTAATCGACTTTAGTAATGTATTTTGTTTCGACCTGAATGCAGACCTCCTTAAAAAGCTGGTCCGCCTTCTTAATAAATACTTTCGGTACAATTTCAACCTACGCAAGTATGTTCACGTGTCTGTTTTACGTTCCCAATGGAACTGGCTACGCATTCGCCTGCGCCGCAATCAGCGGGCTCAGACTTCTTTATTTTCATTTCTTATCTCATAAGTAGGTGAGAACTACTTAAATTGCTTCCTACTTCTGTTTGTATGTCATCTAATCAAGACAGAAATCTTCGTTCTGCAAATATATCCAAGTCCCTACCAGAAATTCCGACTTCGTGAACTCTTCGTTCTTCGTTCAAGCAGTTCTACTCTAGAATGCGCTCCCGCTTGAAGTCAAAACCGTTCCATATTTAAAAAGAAGGTACATGACCTCCTTCTAAATGAGATGCCAGAATTATCTAATCGATAGAGAAGCAACCAATTTTCATTTTTCATAGTGTACGAATAGCATACACCACCTAAAGGCTGACTGAAAGAGAATGTCCTGGGCATTGAGTCCGCCGATGTACAAAAGTACATAAATTTATGTAAATAAAATAAAGTAATAATAAGTATAGTAACTGTAATAAGTAATAATAATGTAATTTAACAAAAATTAAGACAATATCTTCAAACAAATACATCTAAGGGACGTATTACAAAATGATACTCAAAACTCCAGAAACGTTCGAGGTTAGTTGTCACCTTATTAAACTAAGTTCAAGCGTTTATGAGTTTTGAGAAACGTGCTGTAATATGACCTAAGTAATATTTGAATGAAACATAATCTCTTTTATCTGTAACAAATACAAATGACATACTATACAAAACAAGTTTAGTCAGAAGTAAAAACAAAATTATTTATGCGTAAAACGCAGCTTACAAGATGAGTTAGTCGTGGGAGAGCCATGCCTCAGCACATATAGGCCAGACTCGACCGGTGTGATACCACGGCCTCACATCAAATCTATGTTAAGCAGTTCTTACGTTGTTTTTCACCGAGTGAGAGAGGTTCCACTTTACCCTGATTCTGGGGGGAAGTACTGAAAGGGCGGCAATGCACTGGTGACTCTTAAGTTGCAGGTGTCCATGGGTGGCGGTAGTCACTTACCATCATTCGACCCGTCTTCCAACCGTGATCGTCTGCTCGCTTGCCTCCAAACTTAATAACAAAGATCGCACTGGACAGCGGCGAACTGAGCCAGAGCCGGTCTCCACGAGTTAGCCGCGAAGTTAACCGAACGACGTACGATACTTTAGGAACAATGAGTTTCGGTGCGGCCGAAACCGAAACTCGAACCGAAACTAGACTTTTTTGCCGAAACTGCCCGAAACCGAACCCGAACCTTCAGTCGGTCATTAAAAAAAATATTACGGTAATAGTGTTTCCTGTTTTATTACCCCTTTGCAGTTTAAACTAATATTTTGCATGGTATAGGGTAATGAGGTCATGGTCTCACTCTGATCGAGCCGTCCCATATGCTCCGCAGCAAGTCTTTCTCACGATGTCTATCAATTAAAAAAAAAAAACAAAATGCCAACAAAACTCGCCAAGATTTCACTTTCACTTTGATATCCGCGGCTCTTACATATCGCGGTGGTTTATGATCACACTTCTAGGTCGCTTCTAAACCTAAATAGGCCAAACCCAATGTTGAAACGTCTAAGTAGGAAGCTTAGACCTGTATTAATTTTCTCATGGGTATATATAGATGAAATTTATCAGTTGTCCTTTTGCAGTCCGCACGTCTTAAAGAATATTCTCATTCTTAACTTCTTATGCCTAACGAAGCATCTGCCGAAACATTTTTTTGCATTTATTTATTTGCGTTGCATTTCATTTATTAAAGGAAATCTATAATCAAGATTTGATTTATATCTTATTACCATGCAGCTAAAGTATGAAGAGCAACAAGCCAAGGTATTACAGAGGCAAGAAAAAAAGCAAGAGAAAATGCGTCAGAAGGCAGAAGCAGCACTGCTGAAGAAAATGATGAAATTTCCAGGGATGCATCCAGGTTATCATTATAAACAATCGAAGAGAACTAGCGAACTGCTAGAGGTAACACTTTTAGATTTTTTAGTGGTATTTAATATTGAACTCGACTTCGAAGACAACTCAAGGCTTTTGAATAAGGTATCACCATAATTCGTCAGATTTCATGCAGATGCAGGGTAGACACGATGTATAAGATTGCCAAGAGTTTTGACTGGTTTCTTTTATGGCCGGGAATCTGCCTGATTACTCTCCTTGAGAATGTTAACCTTTTTTAAACTTGACAAGGGACGAAGATAAATTGGGATAAGGGGGCGTAATACTAGGGTAAGAGACACTTCAAGTCTGAAGTGGGGAATGGGATCGAGACCGCAGTATCCGTATGTCGCTCTGTGATTGGAGAGACCCCTAGGACAGACTATTAAAGAAACTTTCAAAACTTTCTAAAAAAAACTTGACACATCGCAGGCGACACCCTGATCCCTAATTAGACTGAGCATGTGCTATGGTGTCCAGACTTCTGATAGAGATACTTACATGGTTTTAACACATACATATTACAGACTACAAGCGGCGGTAGCCTAGTGGTTAAGGCATTAGCCTTGCGATCAAGAGGTCGTGGGTTCAAATCCTGACCAGTACACTACCGACATGAACCCACTCCTAACACAAGTAATTTAGCTTAGCTGGAGGGTTTAACGGGAATACTAGTAATTTAGTAAATATAACCAAAAAACTGTTGTGAGCAAACGTGATTTTATTAGTCTATCTTATTCTAATTACTTTCAACGCTTTCTTTAAAATTTATCCTAAACTATCGCAGCGCTCCCCTGTTGCGTTTTTACGGACACTTATTCATAGACATATACGGTTCTTCTTGCCTCTACCCTCCTTTTGTTTAAGTCTATTTTTTGTTTAAAATTAAACTCATAGCAAATATATTTCAGTTAATACACAATTACCACAAATCTTGGGGCGACTATGACTCTCAAGACCATTTAGAAGCAAAACGCAAATATATTAACGAGATAAACGTACAAGAGGCACACATGAATGTGCAGCTCGAGATATTACAGAAAGTGGACGAGGATATGAAGTAAGACTGAATTTTACATAATCGGCTAAGAAAATCTACCTAGATGTACGATTCAAAATATGTAATATTGTCCGTGTGGTGACGGATTAAGAATACGGAGTGTACACCACCCCTATTCATCCCGTGGATGTCGTCAGAGCCGACTAAGGGAGCAAACTACGCAGGATAACAGCACTGCAAAGAGAAGGAAATCTTGAAACAAACCCTATACCAACCCGTCTGGCCAGCTTGGTATAGTAGGCCAAAACCACCATTCTAAGGTTCCGTTCTGTGTCCAGCTGTGGACTACTAAAGGCTGTTGATGAATACTGGCAAAAGACCTGTTTTTCTGTCAAATTTAATTTTATATATTATTAGAATGTAAATACATTGCATGGATGAGACGTATGTTAAAGCTGCAAGCATTTACTGCCAGTCGAAATTTAGGCGGTTTGCTACAAAACAATAAATGAGTATGAAGTCAGTTAGTTCAGTCTCAAGTTTATCATTCTTTTTTATCGTGTCGGGCAAACAACAGACGGTTCACCTGATGGTAAGTGACTACCGCCGTGCCTGCAACTCATGAGTCACAAGTGTATAGCCACCCTTTGAGTGAGTGCCTTTCCCCCAGAACATCTTGTAATGTAACTTAGTTTGCTATTTCTTCTCATAAGGCCTTCCCTTTGGAAATGGGCGGTTCCATGTTCATTTATTTTGCTAAATATTTGACATAAGGGAGATTGTTGCTATTGTGTATGTTGATCTATGTCTTTAGAGTCTACATTAGAGATGATTTCAAACAATGTTAATTTTTTATGATATTCTCTTATGAACGCAAAATGTGTTTGAGTTTGAGCTTCAAGCTGAAATAACGGCAACCCATGCCGTTCTTTCAGTCCCTTCCCCAGAATCAGGGGGAGGGAATTGTTTTAGGCTCCGGTAACTTCTATCACTAGGTGAAAAGTAACTAAAGAACTGCTTCAGACCGGTTTTCTGTGAGGCCGTGGTATCACTCCGGTCGAACCCCAATGGTGCCAAAGCATACCTGTCCCACTCATCATCACTTTAAACTTTTCACAGATAATATTTTCTTCTACATACAGAAATAAGTCTCATTCAACCAAATTCGGTAACACTAGGCACCATTACTAATTTTAATTGTGTTTCAATAAATGTTCGTAGGTTGATATATCTTAAACTAAAAAATGCTCTACAAAAGGATTATAACAATATTGGCGAAGACATGCCAGAACAGTTTGAAAAGACTAAACGCAAGAAGAAACAAAAGAAGTTAAAAGCGGTTCACAGCGAACGGATTGCAGATAAATTAGAGGTGATAAAAATAATAATTGATTTAAAATGTTTAGTTAGGAACAGTAGGTTTGAGGTGATGGTAAAGTCTTCTTATGAGTCAAGGTGATTTGGCTTCTCGCCTGCAAAAGAGCTACGCTACATTTTATCCAAAAATTACAAAGAATCATGACGCATTTTGGTTAATGTCGTATCATTTTTAACAAAAGGAAAATAGTCAAACAACTTTTCAACAGTTTTCTTTCCCTTTCAGACTTTGGCGATGCAAGGTTTTGTTGTGGATTATCCTGAAACAAAGCTAGAGGATTATATTGGAGATCCTAATTTTTGTGGAGATGATTGTCGTCGCTTGATTGTGTAAATTACTCTCTTTAATGACATTGCAATAACTTTTGACTAACTATTTTAAAGTACATGACACAAAAATTTACAACGATGCATTATTTTCGCGAATATTTAATATTTATATCTATATACTTTAATGGTATTGGTTCTTCTCAAGGTTGATCCCATTTCAAGTAAATATTAAAACGTAAATATGAAATATTTCGACTGCACGGCTGGCGTAGTGGTTTAAGTGGTCGCCACGCCGCTTCCTCCTACGCCGAGTGTTGTGGGTTCAAACCCAACATGGGACGACACTTTGTGTGATCCACAAATTCTTGTTCTGAGTCTGGGTGTTCTTTGTGTCCGTTTCATGTATGTTTGTAAAGTCCCACGCGACAAAGGAATATATTCCTAATGCGGGCGTCTTTTTTCTTTTTTAAAGAAAAAAAAAAGTTGTAAATAAAATGTATAACATGCAACGGCAATAAATGCTATTTTATTAATTTTCTAAATATCTGAAATTATAGGCCAACATTTCCCCAAAGCTATGAAGTAAGGTCATACTGGTGGGAGAGATGCCAGGAAGTAGCGAAGGGTTCCCAAAAAATATTGATAATTGGTCCTAAACTGAGTGGCAAAACTACATTAGTGTATGCCTTGGCTTCCATGAACGGTTGGTAAAAAAAAAACATTTGCTAATAATCCATTTCTCGTGTTTCTTTTCTTCTGACTTGCCTCATCATAGAATTAACATATTATGGTTCTCTGTCGTCAACACACGTCGCCTTTGCTATTGTGTCACTTTAGAGATTAGGTTCTGACAGAAAAGGTAGCAGTCAGTCAGCAACTGTTGTCCAAGGCGGTAAATTAGACCTCAGAGCATTATTGCAAGACCATTATTTCTATAAAACTCCTTTGAAACGAGATATGTGTATTAAATAAAGCTAAATGGCAATTTTAACAAATAAGTTGATTATCGTTTTGTGCAGTCAAAAGATTATTCATTTTCCAAACAACTTGTGAGTGACATTGCCTTTTATAGATGCATTACTGTTTGAACTGGACCCAGTAAAATGGCCAAAAGAATTACTAACCCAAGCAGAGTTGACGCGGTTGACAAAAAACATCTGTTATTGTGCCAAAGCAGTGGAACCCTCAGTTATTTATATCAGAAATTTGCAGAAACTTTGTTATATAAAAGTGAGTAATTATTTTTAACTATAATAAAATATTTTTAACTATGATAAAACTTAACACAGCTAAGTTAAAAAAACAGTAGTTTCGGCATACTTGCCATGGACATTCTTGCAGTTAGCCGCCCGCTAGAGATCATGTTTAAACTCAGGGTTTACAATGAATATAAGTTTCGAAACGACGCGGTCCCCTCGTGCCGAAGGAAAGCGATGACTAAACTAAAAAAGGGGCCAAAACGGATCGGGTTGAAGCAGTACTTTCTGATGTTATACTATCTAGATAAATAGATTATTCTTTGAAAGATAAATTTCTTGTTTCGAATATAAATAAATCTTCTGATTGCAGGAACCACCAGAAGAAACAGGACTATGCTTAGGACATATTAAACGTTTTTTTGTGGATAAACTATTAAAGCAGATAAAAAAACATGATAAAATAACAATAATAGGTAAGATTATTTTTTTACAACTCCCGCACTAGGAATAAATCCTGTGTCGCGGGGGACTCAGAACAACAATTTGTGGATCACACTAAGTGTTGTTCCATGTGGGGTTTGAACCCACAACACTCGGCGTAATAGGAAGCGGCGTGGCGACCGCTTAAACCGCTACGCCATCCGTGCAGTCAAGATGTATCAATTTTATAACTAAGATGATCTAGTTCACCGTCAATAAAACATAAAATATCCCAGTTTTTTTAAAGAAATCCATTTAATGGTACAATACCCTGTAATAAGGCTCAACTTTAGTTCAAACTTCAAAAAATTGATAGTATATTTTCAGTACCTTTATTTTCGATGTTAAAAATGTGGGTTATGTTCTCTCTTTTTGTCCCACCACGCTTACAACACCACATCTACTATATAGTTACCTACCTGTGCACCACACTTCGGTACAAGCTGGCAACCGTCTCCTGTGCCCGTGTCGTCCTGTGTCGTTACCGTGGGAGAGCCATGCTTCGTCACAAATGGGCCGGCTCGACCGGAGTGAACCACGACCTCACAGAAAACCGGTGTTAACCAATTCTTTCGTTGCCTTTCGCTGAGTGAGGGAGGGACTCAAAGGGCGGCATCGCACTTGTGACTTTTGAGTTGCAGGTCCATGGGCGGCAGTGGAAGCTTACCATCAGGTGACCTGTCTGCTCGTTTGCCCCCTTATACCATAAAAAAACCCAAAACCTACTATTAACTATTGTTAGTATTTAGTTGCAAACAAACTCTATTCGTCGATGTTCTAGATTAAAAACACCGTTTTACTGCTTTTTCATTGAATTACTGTTTAAGATATCATTGTCAAAACTGTGATAAAACGTAAGCCAAAGGAAATAATCACAAAACTATTATAAAATAATACCTACTATTATACTTAATAAACTGTTTTAGGTGCCTGTTTAGATCCATGGTTAGCACGGAATCGTGTGTTGGTGAAGCCTTTTCCAAATATTCTTCTTTTGCCGAGTCTAACGTATTCTCTCACCGAGCTGCTAATTAAAAACTGGATGGACAGGTGAGCATTTGTTGTTTATGCCTTTTTTTTTCAAACACGTGGTTCTCCACTTAACTAACATACTCTACGTTAACACCTGTTTGTTTCAATACTTTTAAAGTTTTAATAATTAACTTGATAATGATATACATAAAAATGACAAAAACAAAATATTCGGTTTATTGGTTTTAAGAAATGGGTACCGTTTTCCACACTGCTACCAGACCCATGGTGTCAGTCTTCTCACGCGTTTGTTAGAAGGCCTTAAACTTAAAGAAAGTGCAAATAATCGGATTTTTCAAAAATGCTAGGTGTACATTTTCGTTTAAACAAAAAGTCAAGGGAATAACATCTTTTATTTTCGAATTGCAGTTACCCCTCTATTCCGTCCACCATTAATGTGACCAACTTAGCTCACATGCTCGCAAAATATCAGAAACATAGCTATGGATACCTTAAAAAAGCTTTAGTGGACTTTATGACAGATGAGAGACTTGTAAGGTAAATAATAATACACCTCACACACAGCTGTATTTTTCCACATACTGCGTCTGCTGATAACAAACTCATATAATTCTATTGTTTTTTTAATATTTCTGACATTCAAACTAATCAGAGCTTATACTATGAAAGCTAGATTATATACTTTTTTTTGTAAATACATACATACATATTATACATAGAAAACACCCAAACCCCGAAAGAAATATTTGCAGATGATACAAACATTTTGTACGACCACCACTGCCCCACCGAGGCAGACGCAATATATATATGTTATAGATAAATTACCCCCAGACACAGAATAAATGGTTGTGCTCTGGTGAGCATCTAACCCATGACGTCTGGCTCAGTTATGAGGATCACTAACTGCTAGACCAACAAGCTTTTTATATTCATATACATCATACAATGCATAAAATTACGCCTCATTGGTGACAGGGAAGAAAATCCCTTCGGATCTCCGGATCCTTAGGAATTCAGAAGTCAGGACTATGTGGTGTTTCTACTCAAAACTATCCCGACAGCCGGCTTTAGGCACCCTACTCTAGAGATAACCCGGGCCATGTGATTTCAGGTCACCCCAGATCGAAGCCGCACCTAACTATTGGCCCTATCTCTCTCTCTCTGGCTTTCCCTATGATAGCCAGAGGCTTCTGCGATTTCTATTTTCTGCGATATGCTTGATAGGCCACGACTCTCACTTTCTCCATCACTTGCTGTATGTAAAAGAAACAACCACACCATGATATTTTTCTAATATGGAGCAATCTAACTCAGATATTTCATCATCATCATAAGCCTGTCGCAGTCCACTGCTGGACATAGGCCTCTCCCATTGCACGCCACTTAGATCGGTTTTGGGCTTCTCGCATCCAGCGCCTGCCAGCCATCTTGCGCAAATCGTCACTCCCTCTGGCCTGTGGGCGTCCTACACTATTACAGATATTTACTACAAGTAAAATATAGTAGGTTCACTGAATACACTTGTAGATAAGAATATATGTTTCAGAGTTGCGGTCTACGGCTTCGATCCCATGGAAATATACACCTATATACTTGAACACAATCCGGAAGAAACAGTTGTTAGTTTTTATGTACCTCATAGTAGTTCCTTTTATAACAATTATTAATTGAAAGCCGTTCCTTATATTTAGTTTTAGATGGTAGTACAAGGCTATTGCCTTCATATAATACTGAAAGAGTTAGGTACTGATTTCCAGATCCTGTGTATTGAAAGTATGTTTGTTTGAAATAGTGGGCAAACGAACAGACGCGTCACCTGATGTGTGCGCCCTTTTGTGTGTGTTGTGTGTGTAGAAAATCCGGCTTATTTTAAAATTAAAATAATAATATTCTACCACATTCACACAACGCCATCTAGTCCCAAACTAAGCAGAGCTTGTACTATGGGTACTAGACAACTGATATAAATACATATATACTTTTTTTTTGTAAATACATACTTATTATACATAGAAACACCCAGACCATACCAAACATTAAATGTTCATGCACACAAATGTTTGACTTGAGCGGGAATTGAACCCGCGACCTTTGGAATAGCAGTCCGTTACACAAACCACTACGCCATCCGATCGTCAATTATTTTAATATTTGTAAATTGATTACTGAACTACTAATTAATTCACTTGTACTTAGAAGTTACCGTCACCTCGAGCGTATATATTTTTTTTTGTTTTTTTTTGTGTGGAAATCCCCTCAGATACCGCCACCGGTGGCTATGTCGGACTCGAACTAACTTAAAACCGCACGCCATCTCGGGTATCAGAAGCCAGGGAACTAGGTGTTCCCCGTCGTACTCGGGCCATCTACGGCGGGTAGATGATCCCCTCCTGTGTGAACCCCCATGTTCCCTTTGTGCTCCCGAAAGGGCGCGCGCGCTCTGCAGCGCATCTCACCGCCACTCCGCCTCGAGCGTACACCTACTGATTTCTCCGTCGAACTATTTTAAATACAGATATTAGGTCTTTACCTATGAAATTGCCGTTTTGTATGCAATAAGTGAAAGTACTTATTTTTTCAAACTTTTTTATTTCTGTTATTCGAAGTAATCACCCATGCAATCGACGCATCTTTGCCAACGCATTGGCAGTTTATTGATGCCCTTCTTGTAAAAATCAGCTGGACGGGAGGCAACAAACTCTTCAAAGGCATTTTGTACTGCCTCTCGGGAATTGAATTTTTTACCCACTAAAAAGTTGTCTAAATTTTGGAAAAAGTAATAGTCGGTAGGTGCAAGGTCTGGTGCGTATGGCGGATGAGGGAGAGCTTCCAACCCCAGCTCTTGCAGCTTGGAGACTGTCTGTTGCGCAGTATGGGCTCGCGCGTTGTCGTGAAGGAGCAGTGGGGACGACCGATTGACCAAAGCTGGTTGCAGATGACCTGAAACCTGAAAGACCTATTATTTTGACTGGTTTTAGGATTCAAGAATGTCTGTCAATTATAATTTTTATAACTAAACTCTGAAAGTTTAGTTATAAAAATTGTAACAGTCTTCTCAAACGTAGTTGTATTCTGACTTCAGGACTACGAGCGCTACCTGAAATGGTATTTTGAGAAAACCCCAACAGGTAGAAAAGAGAAAGAACACTTTGAAGGCCAATTACATTTTAAGAAAATCGTGGCAGAACTTGCAGCGAAAGAAGAAGCCAAAGGGAAGAAATCAAAGAAATCAGCGCCGATTAGTGCTGCATCCAGTAGAAGCGCTTTGTAATAAATTTAATGTGCACAGATTTCTCTTTTCTTTTCACTTGTACTTTTTATGATTTAATCATTTTGATTTTATATTTTTTTTATAAGCCTTCATTCGGGCACAACTATATATCTTTGTCATTCAAACATCATTCTTTTTTTCCATTTTTGTGTGTCCGCTTACCAGGTGGCAAAGGCCTCCTCTAATCTTCTCCATCCTGGCCTTTCTATGGCTACTCCACCCCCTTGTTATTTGTCTACGCGACTTCTCTAATGTCATCCTCCCACCTTCTCTGTGGTCTACCTCTCTTTCTTTTTCTTTTTGATTTTATCTTAACCATTGTCTACTTTTGAAGTGTGGAAAATAGTCCTATTGAGACGTTTTGCAGGAATAGGCGATTGAATCCCTAGATGATTTGATTTGAGCTTATATCTATACAAACCAATAAAATTCGGAATGACGCATGTATGGATCAATTGAATTTAACCTCTGAAGATCCTCAGAAGAAATCATAAATAGGTAGGAAGATTGATCTTTCAACATTATTGAATGAATGAATGAGCCTTAAACTAAAAGTAGAAAACAGAAATAATGAGGATTATGGTCGATAAAAGTCAATTGTCAAAGTTGTCAAACTAATAACCAATTCGATGTCTACCTGCTATAGTTAAACCGCCGTAAGCTTGGCCCTCCTGATGGTTTGCGGGACGCGGGGCGGGTGATGCGCTCGGCTATACATGACACGATGTACTAACTCGATATCTTCAGATTTATTTGTTTGAGATTTAATCTACACACGATTTAATAAAAATCTAATTTATTTCCATGTATTATAATGTCAGTGTATTGTAAGTTTTTATGATTAATTGTAAAATGTAATACTGTAAAATAATTTTAATAAAATCACCTTATCTTCATCATGTAAATTATATTCAGATACAATTTAAAAATTAAGTAAATTAATAAATATTCTTTATTAGAACTTTAACAGTAGAACCTCTGTAAGTCAAACTTCGAGTCTTTAAATCTTTTTGTGACGCAGAGTCGGCAGATTATCCATGATGCAAAATAATACCGTGTGTAGCAGTCTCAAGAAAAATAACACGTACAGCCATGCTTTCACGTCAGTCACTGCCGGCGGACAGCGACGCACTAGCTAATTGGTTGAATGCACCCCCGCCCCGCGTCCCTCAAACCATCAGGAGGGCCAAGCTTACGGCGGTTTAACTATAATTTGAATTAATTGGTAGGTTACCGTTGTCACAGTGTGACTGTCACCTGTCAATCTCTAACCACGGCCAGTGTAACCACGTCGAAACATTTGGCAATTCTAAGGTAGGTATGTAATAAATGTTCCATCACCACCACCACCACCAACAGCCTACAACAGTCCACTGCTAGACATAGGCCTCTCCTTAGAAAGGAGGTTTTGGCCTACTATACCACGCTGGCCAAACGGGTTGGTATAGGGTTTGTTTCAAGTTTTCCTTCTCTCAGCAGTGCTGTCGTCCTGCGTAGTTTACTCCCTTAGTCGGCTCTTACGACACCCACGGGATGAATAGGGGTGGTGACATTCCGTATTCTTAATCCGTCACCACACGGATTCACACCATATGTTACATGATACGAAATAATTAAAAGAATGTAACGCGAAAGTAAACGTAAAAGTAAAAAGCTCTTTTCCAAGGAGGGGCCTATGTTCAGCAGTGGACTGTTAAAGGCTGTTGATGATAATGAACGCGAAAGTAAACAAGATATTACATTAACCTTTACGTTTTCACTTTTTAAAAGAGGACGGTACCCAAAATAATTTAAGTTTAAAAATATTATAAATTATGAATAACGGTGACGTAAAACACAACATATCAATAACTTCAATTTTTTTTTATTGTTCAGTAAACAATTCAAACCGCAATATTTTTAAGTTAAGTCAATATTGGAACTAAATCTTGATATTAAAATAGACACCTAGTCAATAAAATTCTTTAGTACCTAATAACCGAACAGTATACACATTTCTCCCCAAAAGCAAACAACATTAATACCGCTAAATTAAAAACACCACTTGCAATACGGCGTTATGTAAACAGAACACTTTTACATTTTTATACTGACTTGCAAAGATAAGCGCAGAGCAAATAAAGGGCTCGTGTCGATATAGAGGGGGCTGATGGTTATCTGTAACGTAACGTGTCCGAACCAACGCTGACATGGCGGATTTTATTTCTTTATTGCGCAAAAATGCTAACTTTCATTGGGACGCTAGGGTGACTGTAAGGCAGGACAAAAAAGAATTAGTCTCCTATCAAATCTAGCTATAGTGAATTACCAACGTATTTCATAGTGGCGATTTCAGCATAAAGGTACTTACTTCTGATCTGAATGATAGTCTCAAAGGTATCAAAAATCTTAGCTCCGGCAACCCTTAGTCAAATAGCTAAACATGGTATAGTTAAGAGCATAAGTAATCAAGTTTGGCGTTATTAAGAAATGGGAATTTAGCTCATACTAAAATAGCGATGGGTAAAAGAACAATATCCGGTTCAGAATGTCATATGTCCAAATATGTAACATATTATTATTTCCGTTTCCGTTGTGTGGTGTGTTACGGTGTTGTTATTCGAGAATCGCCGAAATACATACGTGAGTAAAACCGTCTAGCTTTAATATTATAAAACCCACTCACGAAAATGTTTACTCTAAATTAACTACTTATATCTCTGGATAATAACATACGGCAGTCTAATCCCAAACTAAGCAGAGCCTTTACTATTTATTTATTTAAGGATCTTCAACAAGAATATCACATAGCATTCACAGAGAATAATAAATTATTGATCTGGTGTATTCTTAATTACAGAAGATCACAGCCTGCATTAAGAGCCTAACATAATATTTAGAATCAGAAATTACTATTACACAAATTAGAAGTAAATAAATTATTGAAAATTGATTAAATTAAATTACTGTTAAATTCATTAAGTCAATTCAATCAATAATAACATTGCAATAGTTAAATACTGATGATATGGTTAATAATTAAATATTCAACAATATAAGATTATATACAGTTACATTGATAATATATAATTTAAATCAAATAAATTTATATTAAATTGATGTCAGCTGTTTATATGTCTACTATGGTAACTAGACTACTGATATGCATAGTTAAATATTTCTAAATACCTACGTCCATTAAAAATTACACCTAGACACAGAACAACAGTCCTAGGTAGTCATCGAACCCACGACCTCCGGCTTAGCACTCAGTCAGTGTCACTAACCACTGGACCAACAGGCCCGTTAATTGTTTATTACAGACATTCATTTGAAGTCCATCTTAGTCAGATTCATAGTCACCCTACCGTCCACCCTTTTAATATTCAAGCGGTGTATTTGGAATTAATTTGAGTCGTTTAAATATTTTCTGTGGTGGTTCGCTGCCGAGTAATTATTGTTTGAATATTACATCTAGTTAACGTGTTTGTTTTTTAATACGGTACGGCGTGTTTTCAGCTTTATTAAAACAAATAAACAATATTTAATTAAGTGTAATGTGTATTAAAAGATAGACGAAACATTTATTTTTCTTTAGAATGTTGATTTTATCTTCTATATAAATAAATAAAATTGGAGTGTCTGTTTGTAATATTTAAATAACCGCTTTTTACTAAATGCATATGTATGTTTACACGGTACATATGCCAAAATAACATTTTTTACAATTTTTGTCTGTCTGCCTGTCTGTTTGTTCCGGGTAATCTCTGAAACGGCTGGACCGATTTCGACGGGACTTTCACTGGCAGATAGCTGATGACATAAGTAGTAACTTACACGGGTAACACCGCGGGTCTCAGCTAGTTATAAATGTAATTGTAAGCCCGACGTCTTATCATCTTCCTCCTAGCCTGATTCTCAAACTAGGTTTGGGGTCTTTAGGTCTACTACGATAGGGCTGATTTGTGCTCTGAACACGGTTCCGTCATCTCATCACCATCTTTTTTTTATGAAAGAAGGGGCAAACGAGCAGACGGTTCACCTAATGGAAAGTGACTACCGCCAAGGTCCAAAGTAACCGCATAAGCTTCTCCCTACCGTAACCGCATAAGTCCGTGTGGTGACGGATTAAGAATACAAATTGTCACCACCCCAATTCATCCCGTGGGTGTCGTAAGAGCCGACTAAGGGAGCAAACTAAGCAGGACAACAGCATTGCATAGAGAAGGAAAACTTGAAACAAACCCTATACCAACCCGTCTGGCCAGCGTGGTATAGTAGGCCAAAACCTCCTTTCTAAGGAGAGGCCTATGTCCAGCAGTGGACTAGTATAGGCTGTTGATGAAGCTTCTCCCTTGGTTTCGATCGCCTGTGCCCACCGGTGTGTTATATGGACGAGAAGATCGCCAGATGAGCGACTTCGACGAAAATCTTATCGTCGGTCATTGAGTTCCTGGTGATCTTCTAAGTACCGGAGGAGCTTGCAATTGATTACGGATTCCATAATCTTAATGCCCTTCAATTCAATTCTTCTTCAATTTATTTGTGACCGGCGGTATGCGTGATATTGCCAAGGTTCCTGGCTGGATTCTTTGATGTCTAGCCACTTATCTGACACCAAGCCTCTTTTGACTGGGAATATAATTGCTTTCAGACGAGACAAAGGAAGAAGCTATATGCACATGTACAGCTTTGGAAAATAGGCTGAGGCAGTCAGGGTAAGGGATGCCGCAAAGTTCGGATGGGATATTTGACTGAGACGTACATCTGTCCTGTCAAGTTCTGTGATTAGAGAGACCACTAGAGCCACTATTATACCATATCATAACATCAACAGCCTTTAATAGCCCTGGTGATCATAGGCCTCTCCTTAGAAAGGAGGTTTTGGACTACTATACCACGCTGGCCAGACGGGTTGTGTGAAGTTGTTCAAGTTTTCCTTTCCTTTGCAGTGCTGTTGTTCAGCGTTGTTTGCTCCCTAAGTCGACTCTTACCGACACCCACGCTGTATTCTTAATCCG